GGCATTAATCAATACTTAACATGTTATAAAGACGACAGATCATCTTTAGGCGATCTCCAACTCCATCATTATCTCAATTACCGGCCATTAGGATATTTTCAATTAACTATAGATACCAATCAAATATTTTTTGAGCCTTACAATATCTGTCGCTTTTATAAAAGTTGCATGCATTGTTTGATGTATGGTGTGAACAAGTACTGTATTTGGTCCGATTCAAGGTGTACATTGGATATAGACAGAGCTACACGAACTGTAGATTACTGCTTCAAAATAGCTCGAATTTCACCTTTGCTTTTCAACTCTTCATCACCTGAAACTTTAACAATTAAACTCGATAGACCACTGGACCTTACCGAGTCTCAAGAGTACTTAGTTATCAAAGCTGGTCCACAAAATAATTGCACCAACATAAAACCAAATCACAACGGATCAATCTTCAATTGCTCTATGAGCTTATCTGAATCGGGTAAATTCAAGATCAGTATTAGTCTACGAAATGATAGATATGCTGATGCTATAACATTAAGTGCCCTATCAACTCAAAGGTTGATATTGTTGCGCCCGAAGTTGATTACTCGTCAATAGTCATTTTATCATTTTTAGGTTTACTTTTAATTTCATTCTTGATGATAGGCTATATAAGGTGCAATAAGCAACAGTTCAAAAAATTCAAAAACATATATAAATATGATTCAAATAAGAATGCAAGAAAATTTTCTACTTCAAGAAAGAAAAGAGGATTTTTTGAAACTAAAAGCGCTGTAACACGCGTTCAAGCACAATATACCTTCTAACATGAACACAATAAACGACTCAACCATTCAAACTAGACCATCGAGTAAACTGAACAATCATCGAGCACAATGCCATCTGTATCCCAACAGTTGTATCCGTCAAGATTAAAATAACTATTGAAGACGATAATAGTTAAGTTTTTGATACTCTAAATTTCTCTGAAAGCCTTCACCTCAAACAGATTATCTTAGACCTTCATTATACATATGAATTATGTAACATAATTCATAACATTTGAATACATTAACGTAATGATTTAAGAATTTTGCCATTCTGTTAGCGCGTCAATAACTTATCATTAAATAAACCACAAAGTCTTTGACAGTTTTTCAAAAATTGATTTCAAATGGTTAATTAACATCGATGGTTTCGATTTTTTTGAAAACAATCAATATTTGCTCTTTAATTCGCACCAATTGTAATGGAATCCTTCGAGGTGATTGGTAGTTCTAGTTCCATAATTTGCATGGTGATTCCAAATATTACGATCAAAAAGAGCATCCTCATTTATCCATATCCATCTAATTCAAGAAATGATCAATCCTTTGATCTTTAATTACTGAAAAAATTTGAAAATTCTGATCATCACCATTATTTAATTATTCTGTTTGATTGTTCATAAAATTTTCTTTTTTTGTCGATTTTCTATGAGATTTTCATTAAAATTTTCATCAACCCTTAAAATCATCAAATCTTTAAAAGTATCCTTCCTACGGATATTGAATGTTAAATGAAACTTTTATTATGCTTATATTATTATAAATTTTCAATTAGATAATGTGATGATTAGAATTTTCAAATTTTATCAGTAAGTTTTCGATTGGTTTTTATAGTTAATTTACCTGTGTTGAGTGTATTTTGGACAAAAGTTTCACTCTATTAATGATAACAGTTTTGTTCCGATTGTCGAGCGCAACTAAAACTCAGTGGCCGTCAGAATGGGTTGGGAACAACATAAGTTCGTGATCAGCGATTGGTGATGGCCAGTTTATCTCTTGCAACTGTTCTTCGCTCTGAAAATCACTTTCCTCATCATTGACAACCTCACCTCGTCCTTTTCCTCGACCTTTTCCTTGACCTTTTCCTCAATCTTTTCCTCGACCTTTTCCTCGAATTTTTTCTTCGACCTTTTCCTCGACCTTTTTCTTTGCTTTTTGACTTTGAAACTTCCTGAGGGGCAAAACGAGTATAAAAAAAGTATTAACACAAATATTTTTTATCGGTAAACTTTGAAGCAGACGAAACCACGGATTAATATTCTCGTCTGTATACCAATTAGGGGCTGTTTTCAGGAGTTTTATAGTATCTGCTGTTGTTGTAATTTCGTCGATTTTGGTTAAAGCCATAACTATTAATTTAATCACTTTTAGGAAGATTAACTAAAGTCACTAAAACACATAATTACAGCAATTTAGCATGCAGTCTCACTTCTGACTTATATAAGAGATCGATAGGTGGTAACGATATATCGAACAAAACATTGTTGTGATTTTGAGGAATCTTTGTATCTTTTGTATTATTGTATACTTTTAACTAATTATTAAAATCCTTTTCTCCGTGCTTTAAGTTCGCTACGTTGAATAACGCAATTAGTTCATCAGAATATTTGAATTGAAGCGTTTGCCAAACATGGCTCCTAAAAAGAATAAACAATTCTATGCTTATTATTTCTCTACAAAGGATGGCCCAGAGAATAGAAATAAAAAATATCATATCGACTCTCTAGAAGATATTTCGCTTTATGATGGCGATCAACCTCTAAAATTGGCACGCATTCAAGTTCGAAATAAACCTTGGACAGTCAAATCGGATGATCCAAATGAGCGCTGGCCAGATTTACTCGTCGATATAAGTAAGTTAACTCAAGTAACTAAGTTAAACTAAAGTAACTCTAATTACTGTATTTTATATTGCTCTAGGTCACGACAAAAAAAAGTTAACAAAAATATTTGCCATCGCACCTGAGGAATCTATGTTCATTCACAAAGTTTCAGTTCGATGAAAGATGTTGCAGTGAATGATGAAGACGTGGATGATACAGATGATTTGCCAAATTGGCTTCGCAAGCCTGTTGATTTTCCTAATAAAAATTGCTTTTTGATTTCACTTTGCATTATTTAAAAATATTCAAAAGCAAAAATATTCAAAAGCAAAAAAGGATGTTCAATTCTGAAAAGAACCAATAACTATGATTTCATGTAAGTAATCAAACTTTATTATCAAGTCATCAAGTTTATTAATTCACTTTTTCCTTTTTTTACAGCGACGATATAGTTAGGCTTTTGTGCACGGAAACTTATTATTATAAGAGTTCAGTAGTAGAACACAATCGCGACGAAGTTTCGAAGCCAATCGAAATTACTGACAATAAAATGGTTGTTTGCAAAGCTCCTGTTTGCGAAGGTAAATGTGCTTTCAAAAATCCGCACAATGACATGACAGTGCGTCGTCACATAATTAACACTGTATTGGACATGACCTAGCAACAAACCAAGAAAGCGAGAACAGAGCATCCCGACTCTATCCCAATTATTGAAAAACTGGACGAAAAGTTCATTGACTATTTGTAACTTTCTCATCAACAATTACGTCACTCCAGACTATCGCTAATTTCAATCGCTAATTTCACTGAATTCCTGGAATTTTTTGTTCTCTTCAGAGATCTAATTGCACCTAAACTGTACGGTAGAAAACTTTATCAACTTGTATACTTGTGAGTTTGTATATTTCTATTTTTCACTTCTATTCCACATAATCATAAATTATTCATCATTCATCAATTTTAATTATATTTTTTCACAGCACTGGCGCTTACTTTGGAATTTTTCTTTGCAACAGATAGCAAAAAATCAACACAGATCCAAGAAAATCAATCAAATTCAGAATTATGTCCAAAAGAGACAGTGCATATACATCAATTCATACATTAACGGCCTTACGAGGAGATATTGCCACAAAAACACAAAGACTTGCTGGATCGATGGCTGCGTATGTGAAAATACTTTTACAACTGACGACGCAAGATACCTTGTTGGCATAATTTGGAGATTGGATACAGGGATTGCAGACTGGATGTTCTTTTTGGAACATTTCACTGAAAATTGCTTCATCACCCGTCCAGCTAAAAAAAATTGACAAAACTTATTCACTCTTGTTTACCTATCTTTTTGAAATTATATTTATACTATTTAATTACATATCTCAAGTAACGATGCTGAGGTCGCTAGTCAACAAACTTTCAAGATGTTGGACCAAAAATGCAACCAGATAGGAATAACATGGGCTTTCCATAAGATGAGAGTAACAGCTGGGAGTGCTCAGTCAGCTATAATTTGCTTTAGCCAGCCTTTATAATGTGCCAGCTAGCGGAAAAGAAGCTCGATAAAATATAAATTTAGTGCTATTTGATATCAAAAGTTTTAAACGCAATTTATTTGTTACAAAAAATTTTTACGATGATGGTAAATTAATTACAGTTGAAGGGTTGATGAGTTTAATCCATCATATTTTGTTCTTTGGTAGAAATGAAAACTATTCTCTGTTACCTTATCTTGCAAGTCCTCATGACAAGTATAAATCTTACTATTATTAACATCATACAGGTCGGATGGAGTTTTGAATGTTAGAAAAGTATGATATCCGAAAACGATGTCTCCTTCCTTATTCCGATGGTACATGTCGTCGCAATCCACTCCATCTCTGCTACGATAGCACGTAATGGAGTTTGAATTCACAATTCGCGAATAATAGAAACGATAGTTTTGGCAAGGCAGAACTAGATTGTCAGGTATCTTAAAACGATCACGTTGCCTGTAATCAACGTTGCAACAAATCACTTCAGGAAATTGTTGCAGATAACATTTGAGGCATCTCGTACAAAACCATTACATTGAACCCCATGAATCAGAGCCCGACAATGCAGTTGCTGAGCTTTGATAGTCGATTCTAGGTTGAACAGCGCCTTCTAAAATGAACAATCGATGGGCAACGCTAGAACTGCAATTATGTATTTTGCGTCTGCAACTGTTCCGTTACAAGAGTCGCAAACTGTAGAGCAGATCAATTGAAAATAAAAATCGTTGATCCAACCTGGATACTCACTTGTTAGTTTTGTTAATATCTAGCAATATGCTTTATCAACCAATCCGTCTGGAATTCCATAATCGCTATCACAGAAATCACGCATTGATACACATAATTTGGATATCAGCAAATCATCTAAAACAAGATCATCTTGATTATTACTGTATGGCGTAAAAACCAAAGGGGCTTTCTTCAATCTTTCAGCTCGGGCGCTTACATTTTCCAAGCTCAGCCTTCCTTTCACAGATACTTTGTGATATTTGTTATAAATCTTATATAATAATTTTGTCCAATGAAATTTGCCATCAACTGCCTCATCTTCAGGTGTAGTTCTATCGCCTGAATTTGTTTGTTGTCTGATCTCAGCGTGAATCCGATACAGGCGATGAATAAATACAGGTGCAAAACACCAGTTAATGCAGCTATCAAATAACAAGATTCTCGACCATTCATGGTTTTACTCTATTAATGATTATACATCATAGAAAATAAAGTTATACCATGTTTTTTGTATCTCAGCGCATCAAAAGCAACTTCAATTCAAAAAATACAGTTTTCTTAAAAGATGATGAAAGGTATGCATGAAAGATGTTGAAGAGAATTAAATATTTACATTGGAAGACTGAAATTGAGAGAGATTGCTAATGTTAATATTGATAATACAATATTGAAAAATAAAAATGTGGCTTGATTGTTTTGAATCCAAAGATGAAAAGATGTTCCTTGAAGACCACAAAATACAAACGCATTTGATTCAGTTATCAGTACGATTGGTTGTTTCCTTGAGGCTTTAATTGTGTGAATATCACAAAGGCACAAAGTAAGACACAAAAGGAAGAAAAAGGTAGACCTGTGAGTGAATGAGTGAATGGAAAAATGGAAGATGATGAAGTGAATTAAATATTTACATTGGAAGACTGAAATTAATATTTTTTATGAAAACAAATTAATAGCTAATCTAATAACTATTAAAGTTGGTTGGCTTTTCTCAAACTCTTCTTTGCTTATCTAATTAGACCTTTGTTTTAGTCTATCAATATAATTAGCATCATCTTCATTATTATTAGTTTGCCATCGATATTGCCATTTCATTGAACTGTCAACTT